ACTGATTAGCGAGTGAAATCTTGAAAGTTCGCGAGATCAGGATGGTCTCACGAGGCTATCTAGCGCCATCTATAGCCTGTAAATCCACCAGCAGGTGCATCGTTCCGGCAGATCTGGTACCAATCTGTACTTTAGGCATTGATGCTAAAAATGGCGCCGATTGGAAGATAAAAGCAGCATTGTGAAGCATTAGCTAGATTAGCTAATGCTAACCTAGCTAAGATGAATCATACTTGCCAAGTCCACGAATGCTAATAATAACTTTTGTTAGAACAGTCTGTTTGCTAGGTCTACCACGGTGCTTGTCACTACCCGATTTGTCCTGGAAGCACGATCTGTGCTCCGCATGCGTGAACAGAATACCTTCCTGGTAGGTAATACTTCATTTTTCTTCCTTTTTTATTCTTTTGTGGGGGGTTCCTTTTGAATATTTTTGTATTTGTGTAAATATTGCACATTATAAAAATGAAAAAAGCAACATACTTAAATAGCCTTTCGAACGTTACTGTGACTGGTCTGAGCATTTCCGATGATGACGTCACGTAATACGATGTAGAGAATGTAAAACGTATCCATTTCTTCTGGAAAAGACTTGAAAATTTTCTATATGATGTAGTTTAGCATTCTTTAATGTTTTAAGTATATAAATATGTACTTTCAGTACCGTTATTAGTTTTTTTGGCGATACAGATCTTAATATTCTGTTCGCACATGTGCAGGACGGATCAGGTAGTGACAACCACTAGCACGAGTGCGCCCCTTACTGGCCAGGAGGAGTTGAACTTGCAGCTATCAGCTTTAAGCTAACACTTGGCTCAATTTGCTTTATGCTTAATTCTTTAAAGGAAAAATAAAAAAGATTTTTGTCGTTAGCCATTTTAGTGTGTAAAGAAACTTCAGGCTCCTTGGAAGAACATATTTAAAAAGGAACCATTTTAACTTCTAAAATCATAGCTTTGACCGTTTCCCTGCTTTATCTGATGCGTTAGCCAAACCAAAGCAAGCTAACCAGATAAGCACGCATCAAGCCTCTGCGAATATTAGCAGATTAATGGTCGACTATGCTCTGGTGTTAGCAACTCAATGTGTGATTTAAGCGACAGGAAATGGAAGAAGAACATTTATTGTGTAGAGAGAGTAAAGCCAGGCATACGCTGTACGATTTTTTCAATAGTTGCTCGCAGCTACGGCTCACACTGTACGACGAAACCGCAGAGTTTAAAAGTTCCCAGCTCATGATGTTTGTTCTCACTCTGTGCGACCCGACGCTCTGATGCGATCTACCTGCTCACACTGTACGTCTAAATCTGGTCTGTTCCTGTTTGGCTG